AAAAAAAAGAAAGAAAAAGAAAAAACTGGGCTTATTATCCAGCTAGCTCTTCCTCTGTTCCCTACCTCAGTTTCATCAGCTTCATGGTGACACAATCTTTGTTCCTACATTCCAGCATTTAAATCCAGCCAATTAGATCTCTGCAGTGTTTCACCTCTCATTTTCTTCTCTGCCACTGTTCTCTTTAAGAACTCATCTTTCTCTTTTATTATTTTAGTGCCCTCCTATCTGGTCTCTTCAACTTCATCTTATTATCAATAATCATTGCCACCAGATTTTTCTTCCCAAACCATCACATGGCTCATTCTATTTCCCTTCTCAGAAAACTACAGTGGCTGCCTCTTAGCTGCTAAGTAAAATCCAAATTGATCATGGCATTTGAGGTTATAGCTCTCATACCAGCCTTGTCTCTCAAAGAGTCTCTTTATATGCCTTATGTTCCCATTCCATTTCTTAAATACATTTAATTTTCAGGTCTTCCTTATTTTGCTTGTGTATTTAACCTTATTTGAGCAAAGCCAGTTTCCTAGTATCTTCCAGTCAAATTCTTCTCATTTCATCATTTCAAATGTTACCTCTTCCATAAAGCATCCCTTGATCAACTACTGGGAATTATTCACTTCTGTTACCCTATTAGAAACTGTTTAAAATATGACATTCTTCCTGTGTTGTAATTGTTAATTTATCTCCACTACAAAAGCTTAAGAAAACTTCTTGAGGAGACTGTGAGTTTTCTTTCTTTCCTTTTTTTTTTTTTTTGAGACAGAGTCTTACTTTGTCGCCCAGGCTAGAGTGCAGTGGCGCAGTCTCGGCTCACTGCAACTCCCGCCTCCTGGGTTCAAGCAATTGTCGGCCTCAGCCTCCTAAGTAGCTTACAGGCACCCGCCCCAATGCTTGGCTAATTTTTATATTTTTAGTAGAGACAGGGTTTCACCATCATGGCCAGGCTGGTCTTGAACTCCTTACCTCGTGATCCACCCAAAGTACTCAGCCTCCCAAAGTGCTGGGATTACAGGCGTGAGCCACTGCACCCAGCCAAGAGTGAGTTTTCTACCGTCTGCATAGCACTCCTGAATTCCTTGGAAGCACTCAGTAACTGATATTACTAATCTCTATAATATTGGAAATAGCCACATTTAATGTTCCTCTTTGTCTCTTAGCCAAAGCAAATAAATTCCTGTGAGCACTGATTTTTATATAGTGCCTCTTTTGCTCTGTCACAGATTTGCTAGCCCATTTTCTGTATTATAATTTGCATTATCTCTAAGGACAGAGTGTGAAAGTAAGCTTCAAACATAAAGATGTATTTTATAGCATCTTGCCACTGTTTTAGTGAGACATCTAGCTCCCTCAGCTAAACAACATGCTGACAACATGCTGAGACCCAACCATGACCTTCCTGATGCCCCTCCATCTTGCCTCTCAGCAGAGATGAGCCAGGGACTCTGTCCTGAGTTTTCCATAACTTTATGTGCACCTTTTTTCAGCTTAGTGTGTTAAAATTATCTGTATTGTCTCTCCCAGAGTAGGCTGGTTTCTCTTTGGGAAAAGAGATTTTCCTTAATCCTCTTTGTATCTTTTATATCTGGCACAATACCTGGTGCCCAGTTCAGTGAATGAAGAGGGAAGGGACTCTAATAATTTTAATGCAATGTACCTAACTACTGTTTTCTTACATGCAGGATTTCTGACTTCCGGTGAGTGAGCTTCTCTATAAAGTAATGCGGCAAAGCACATTAAACTGAACAGTCAAAGTATAACTAGATCACATTGCATAAAAAATTATTTTTCCTTTTAGCTCTCTTGTGAAATACAAGAATGAACTGTCTTCTGTCTTCTCAGCAGCAAGACATCCAGAGAGGTGGTTCTTCTCTGTGAAAAGAAATGTAGGCCTGACGCATTTTTCATTAACTTCTAAAGGTAGCACAGAGTGAAGATAAAGTCTTTTTTATTACAACAGAAGAAATAGTATTGATACAAATATTAAAAATGGCTGGCACTGTGGCTCACACCTATAATGCCAACACTTTGGGAGGCTGAGTCAGGCAGGTCACCTGAGGTTAGGAGTTCGAGCAGCTTGCCCAACATGGCGAAACCTTGTCTCCACTTAAAAAAAGACAAAAATTAGCTGGATGTGGTGGCTCATGCCTGTAATCCTAGCTACTCAAGAGGCTGAGGCAGGAGAATCACTTGCACCCGGGTGGCGGAGGTTGCAGTGAGCTGAGACTGCACCACTGCACTCCAGCCTGGGTGACAGAGCGAGACTCCATCTCAAAAAAAAAAAAAATTAACAATTACAGAAGGGCTCTAATTTTCCAAATCTTTTATTATCATTAGAAAATAAAAAAGTGTAACAATATCAACATATCCTATAAACTAAAGGAGTGAGTTTTGAATTAGAAAGCCAGCAATGTAAAACAAGTCTGTTCTTTTTCTGTGGCTAATGATGTATAATTGCAAAGTTTTATTCCACTATGTGATCTTCTTAGACTTTGACTTAAGTATATGGGTATGTGTGGCATATCCATGCAGAAATCATGTATTTTTTTTTTTTTAACACAAGTATATTTTAGCTGAGCTGGTAAAAGGGGCCTAATTTCTAACCTAATAAGTAAAATAAGTAAATTTTTTTTTCTAATTCCCCCTACTTTTCTGTTATTTGGTTACATTATCTAATCCGTTGGGATAATTCTTTCTCAGTGCTGCTTGAAAGGCCTACTAACTGAGGTGGTTTGTATGTTTTTATAGTATTATAGAAATAGAAGCCTATAGAATATTTGCATTTTGTGTTCCTTTAATGGAAGATGGGATTTTATGGCTTGCAGGTAAAATGGCACTCTAAATGCATGCAGCTATTTTTCCTAAGATCAGATTCCACAATGCTTTCCTAGTTGTCTTCAAATGGAATGGTGGCAGTTTTTTAACCACAATAAAGAATTTTGTGAAGTTGTCTTTAAAGAATAACTTTCAGGCAAATTTAGCACTAGACTAGGATCCCTATTCTTAATTTATATTGAAGTTATCCATTTTTGAACTAAAATTAACCTTTTCTTAGAAAACACTTTATTCATAGAACTGAAGTATAAACCAGTTTATGGTTTATAAGATCATATTTTAAATTACTGTTAAAAACATCTTTGTGGCCGGGTGCAGTGGCTCACGCCTATAATCCCAGCACTTTGGGAGGCTGAGGCAGGCAGATCATGAGGTCAGGAGATTGAGACCATCCTGGCTAACATGGTGAAACCCCGTCTCTACTAAAAATACAGAAAAAATTAGCCGGGTGTGGCGGTGGGCACCTGTAGTCCCAGCGACTCGGGAGGCTGAGGCAGGAGAATGGCGTGAACCCAGGAGGCAGAACTTGCAGTGAGCTGAGATCGCACCACTGCACTGCAGCCTGGGCGACAGAGTGAGACTCCTTCTCAAAAAACAAACAACAACAAAAAACTTTGTATGTAAATGTTGCGTCCGATGAATATTTTATTTAGAAATCAATTTTACCTATTTCTTAAGACATCTCCTACTTACATCTTGAAACCGTAGTTTAAGTGAATACTCTTTGCTAAACTAATTTGTCCCTCTGTGTTCCTAAAAGGAATAAAGCCCCATTAAACTACTCTGTAAGTAAGGCCTTCCCTAGTTACCAGGCTTTCCTTCAATTACTATAAATGTTGCTGCCTTATCTCATACCTTGTGCAGGATACAGAATAATCATGTAAATGTTTACATTTCCTGATATGAAATTGAGTAGTAGTCTGCCTATTTTAGAGAATAATTTTAGGATTTAGGATACATAACATATCCAGAATGTCAGAAATTATTAATAAATGAAAAAAATGGCTTTATCTTTTCTTTAATCAGCTGTGGTAATTGGTAATCTAAACTTCTTGGAAAATAAAGAGGAAAGCAGTTATCACATTGCCCAAGTGAAAACAATGTGGGTTTTTGCACTTTTAATAATGCCAACATGTACACATATTAATGTTGCAGATAGTGACTATCTGGGGCTGACGGTGTGGGCAATAAAGGAATTGACCAAGACAGTCGTAGGTAAAGAAAGGCAAATTTATTAGAGGAAGTAGGAAAACACATTGTAAGGATGCAACGAGCAAGTCACCGAGAGGGGAGCTGATTACAAGGAGACAAAGGCTTGCTAGAGATGTTATAGGATGGTGCTTGTGCTAGAGAAGGCTGTGTGCTATACTGATAATGCCAAGGTTGCAGTAAGCTAACTCACATTTTTCTTTTCTTTTTTTTTTTTTTTTTTTTTTGAGACAGTCTTACTCTGTCGCCCAGGCTGGAGTGCAGTGGCGTGGCGTGATCGAGGCTCATTGCAACCTCTGCCTCCCAGGTTCAGGCAATTCTCCTGCCTCAGTCTCCTTAGTAGCTGGGATTACAGGCATATGCCACCACATCTAGCTAATTTTTCTATTTTTACTACACACAGCCACCATGTTGGCTGGGCTGGTCTTGGATTCCTGACCTCAGGTGATCCACCCTCCCCGGCCACCCAAAGTGCTGGGATTACAGGCATGAGCCACCGCACCCAGCTCTACCTTGCATTTTTCTATCAGTCAAGGGTCTGGTGATAGCTGGACACAGGACAATTGTGAGTTATTTGTATAGAAGGGCTGTACATCTTGGACCATGAAGAAAGGCAGACTTGCAACTTATCGGCTTTTTCTTTTTGCTTCCTCCGGTCCCACCAGCCTAACTCCTTTTCTCTAATTAGGACTCCACAATTAATATTTCTGTTCATCATATATTTGTAGAGAATGCTTGCCACTTTAGCTGTTTCCTCTTCAATTACAGGTCCTGCGGTAGACTGGTGGGCACTTGGAGTTTGCTTGTTTGAATTTCTAACAGGAATTCCCCCTTTCAATGATGAAACACCGCAACAAGTATTTCAGAATATTCTGAAAAGAGGTGATTCTTTTCCTCCTATTAAGATAGTCATTTACTGGCTGGGCATAGTGGCTCATGCCTGTAATCCCAGCACTTTGGGAGGCCAAGGCGGGTGGATCTCCTGAGGTCAGGAGTTCAAGACAAGCCTGGCCAACATGGTAAAACCCCATCTCTACTAAAAAAATACAGAAAAGTAGCTGAGCGTGTTGGCGGGCACCTGTAATCCCAGCTACTCGGAAGGCTGAAGCAGGAGAATCACTTGAACCTGGGAGGTGGAGGTTGCAGTAAGCTGAGATCGCGCTATTGCACTCCAGCCTGGGTGACAAGAGTGAAATTCCATCTCAGGAAAAAAAAAAGTAGTTATTTATCTCTGGGTATTATTATTTTGAGCAGTGATTAACCAGTTTATTTGTATCTGTGTGATTTTAGATATCCCTTGGCCAGAAGGTGAAGAAAAGTTATCTGATAACGCTCGAAGTGCAGTAGAAATACTTTTAACCATTGATGATACAAAGAGAGCTGGAATGAAAGGTACAGTTTTGTGTTAATACACTGTTTTACCATTGATTTGTTCCAGATGGTGAATATTTATAAAAATAGCAAGTTCCGGCTGGGCGCGGTGGCTCACACCTGTAATCCCAGCACTTTGGGAGGCTGAGGCAGGCAGATCACGAGGTCAGGAGATCGAGACCATCCTGGCTAACATGGGGAAACCCCGTTTCTACTAAAAATACAAAACATTAGCCGGGCGTGGTGGCGGGTGCTTGTAGTCCCAGTTACTCTGGAGGCTGAGGCAGGAGAATGGTGTGGACCCGGGAGGCGGAGCTTGCAATGAGCCAAGATTGCACCACTGCACTCCAGCCCGGGCAACGGAGCAAGACTCCGTCTCGAAAAAAAAAAACAAAAACAAAAATTAGGCCAGGCGTGGTGGCGCGCACCTGTAGTCCCAGCTACTTGGGAGGCTGAGGCAGGAGAATCACTTCAACCCAGGAGGCAGACATTGCAGTGAGCAGAAATCATGCCACTGTACTCCAGCCTGGGCGACAGAGTGAGACTCTGTCTCAAAAAAAAAAAAAAA